CCTATCCAAGTCTCCTGCCCATTTTTGTGTTGATGTGTAGGAGCTTTTTACATATTCTGAAGATGAGTCAACAATGATTATATGCTGGGCTCAGGACCCAGGACACTGTGCCAAGAGAGATTCAAAAAAAGGAGGAAATATCATCTATGCTCTTCCTGGTGGGCAAGAAACTGTCCCTGCTGCTGAGAAGGTCCTAATCTTACAGGGAAGACAACAACATGTGTGTGCACCTCCATGCACCCCCCCACACACACCACACCACACATATACACACCACCACCTTGTGTGATTGCAGGAAACTGCCGCAAAGTGAGTAACTGGTTGTAGCTATTTCCTGAAAAATGTAAGAATACTGGGAGTTCAGAATTATTGAACAAGGAGAAACTTGGTCATGAAAAATTAATGAAAAATATTAGTTTTCAGCTGCACTTGGAAGGACTGAATAGGAGAAGAGAATGGGACAGGGAATTAGGATTGGGAACAAAGACCCTGGGCCAATCAGGGGGCTGGGTAAGGCTGCCTTGATTGATGGGTCCAAATGTATAAGCCTGGGTACAACACTCTAATCTTGTCATCTGTACCATTTCCTAGAAAGCACTGGGATTAGGTATGCTAACCTCTGGTAGCTCGATGTACACACCAGGAACCAGCAGAAGGGAGACCCACAGAAGAGTTTCTCCTGGGCCTGTCTGTGGAGGTTCCTCCTAGGACCTCCTCATGCCCATCAGCTTCCGCAGGCCGCCCTTCATGTCTTTGTTTCTCAGGCTGTAGATAAACGGGTTAAGCATGGAGGACAAAACTGTGTAGATGACTGTTGCCACTCGGTCCTTGACGGTGTAGCTGGACAGGGGCCGGAAATAAACGTAGATTATGCTGCCGTAAAAGAGGGTCACCATGGTGAGGTGGGAGCCACAGGTGGAGAAGGCTTTATGCTTCCCAGCGGCGGAGGGGATTTTAAGGACAGCAAGGAGGATTCGTATGTAGGAGATGACAATGCATATGAAGGGGGTCACCAAGGTTATCAGTCCTTCTGTGTTAATTACGATTTCATTGACAAAGGTGGAGGAGCAGGACAATTTCAGCAGAGGGTTGATGTCACAGAGGAAGTGGTGGATAACATTGGAGTTGCAGAAGAGAAGCCGAGTTATCAGAAGAACTAGTAGGAGAGAGTGCAGGTGAGAGATGGAGCAGGACACAGCCAGCAGCAGGACACAGCGGCGGGGGCTCATGGTGGTGATGTAGTGGAAGGGGTCACAGATGGCCACATAGCGGTCGAGGGCCATGGCTGCCAGAAGGTAACTTTCTGTGTTGGCGAAAGCCAAGAAGAAATACATCTGAGCCATACACTCAGCATAGGAGATGGACTTCTTCTTTGACAGAAAGTTCACCAGCATCTTGGGAATGATGGTGGTTGTGTAGCAAACATCAACGAAGGACAAGATGCTGAGAAAGAAATACATGGGTGTTTGCAGCTGAGGGTCAGAGCGGATGGCCAGGATGATGAGCAAGTTCCCCACCACGGTGACCACGTACATGACGAGGAACAGGGCAAAGAGCGGCTTCTGGTCCTCGGGCCGGGAGGATAGTCCCAGGAGGATGAACTCAGAGACACTGCCAGTTTGGTTGACCCCTTTCATGATCCTGTGTACACCAATAAACATAGAAAATCCTAGAATTTTCAATTTAACAAGTTTCAATTTATTCTTCTCTCTCCTAGGATTCCTATAAATGGTCCATTATTCTGTCTTCTCTTCCACAGTCCACAAAAATAAGTTGAACAATAAATAAGTTTAACCTAATGCAGGGACATCAGAGAGTGGATTTCCCCCTGGAAAGAAGCCCAGGAGGACCCCAGGGATTCATACTCCTCTAGTTCCTCATCGATAGCATTCAGATATGTCAGATTGTGGCTCACCTCTCTGCTATCTTTGCAAATAAAATGAAACGGATAAACAAAAAACCCAAACAACTAAGTGAATCAGGTAAGTAATGCTGACATGAGCCCACGGTGTTTATGGTCACCCTTTTGGAGCCAACATTTCCACTCAAACCCTGCAAGAAGCTGTCTGGTGTATGAACCTCTCTGTTACAGTATTCCTAGACATTGGGGATGTCATGCGCTCACAGTTACTCATCGCTGTTGTGTAATATCAACTACTCACTGAGAACTCAACATGGCGATTACAACTGTGAATAATTCCCAGTTCCTTTTCTTAAGGATGGTGCCGACTAGTGGGAAAGGCCAACTTTTAAATAAAAGTGCAATAAAATGCTACAGATGTAGAGATAGACACATTGAAAAGCAGCATAGCATGGAGTCCAGTTTTTGCTAAGAGCGTGTATTTTAAAGTCAGCTCCTTCACTTTCTGGCGGGGTGGCCTTGGGCTGGTTACCTGACCTCTGATTCTTGCTATCCTTATCTACAATGCGGGGATAGTAAACACCTCCCACCTCCTCCTCCTCTTATCTTGCTTTATCCTTTCCTTTACTCCTGCCCAAATCCCCTTCCTGTCAGGTGTTCCTGAAAGCAGCTATTTTGCATTTCTTTGCAAAATCTTGCAGCCCTTGTATTTTTTATTATTTGACCACTCTTCACTCGAGTTTGTGAGACTTTGTAGGAGAAATACTTGTGCTTTGCATGATTTGAAAATGAGTATGCAATGAAGGCAAATAAGAACAGTCATGTCTAAGGCATATTGAATCCTTACTATGTGTCAGGCATTGAGTTCTAAGTATTTTATGCGTATTACTCAAAGCAACCCTGCAAGCTAATTCTCCAGAGTATTTGCTTTTAATAGATCAGAAAACCAAAGTTAAAGTTGTTAAGTGCTTTTCTCAAGATCATGCAGCCTGGAAGGGTCAGAGCCTGGATCCTAACCAGGATGGGTCTTAAACATAAAACAACGTCTCCTTACGGTTTAGTAAAGCCTCAGAAGTTTATGCCAGAAACAAATGTGCAGGGTGCTTTTTTCAATATAGAAGTTTTCTATTGGAATAGCTTTATTCCAGTGACTGGCAAGCTTTCGAAATCCAGGTTGCGATGTAGCCCCTTACTGCAGTTGCTAGAGACAGGACCTTTCTGGAACCGCATGTGGACTGCTACTGTGTTGTTCTGAGTCAGGGCAGAGGAAAGTACCCGGGGTGTAGAGACGGAAAGTGTGGGTTCGCATCCTAGCTCCACCATCTACTCACAATAGCTTTGGCAAAATCTCCACTCAGATTTTTACTTTCCTCATACATAAGATAAAATAAAACCTGCTTCTAATGCTGTCGTGCGAAGAACATGTATGTAAAAGCAGTGTGTAAGCCACAAACACAATATATGTCAGAGGAACTGACAAATGTCTGATACAGAAGAAACCATTAACGGCAGCAGGGGCTGACTGAGGCTAAACGCAGAGGGAAGTGGAAAGGACTTTTGGCAGTGCGAATCCAGGGGGCTAGGGTTAGAAGCATGCGGGGGCCAGGTGTTGCTGGAATTGGAATAATTATTTTCCATTTTCTCCCATTCTATCTGTTATCCATCACCATGGGCTTTGTTTGTTCAAGGATTCCCACGATTTCAGCTCCTAAATGTCTCGAGTCTCGTAACTCTTTTCATCTCTCCCACCGCACTCCAGCCAAGGCCATGGTTTCCCACCTAGATTACTGCGGTATCGTCCCGGCGACGTATTTGGTGTTTCCATATCCCGTCTTGACACCTTGCCCCCACCCATCCTCTGCACTGCAGCTACAGTGATCTTTTATCAATCAACATTTGATCATTTAACTTTCTAGGCTAAAGTCTGTTTTAGTTTTCTAGGGCTGCTGTCACTAAGCGCCATAACCCTGGGTAGTGTAAAATCATAGACGTTTATTCTCTCACAATTCTGGAGGCTAGAAGTCCAAAATCAGGGTGTCAGCTGGGTTGGTTCCTTTGGGAGGCTCTGAGGGAGAACCTGTTCCCTGCCTCTCTCCTGGCTTCTGGTGGCCGTGGGCAGTCCTTGGTGTTCCCTGGCCTGTGGATGCCTCACTTCAACCTCTGCTTTTGCCCCGCATGCAGCTGGCTTCCCCCGTGTAGGTTTCTGTGACTTTACGTGGCATTCTCCTCTCTGTGTCCAAATTTTTTTTTATAAGGACACTGGCCACTGGATTAGGGCCCACTTTAATCTGGTATGACCTCATCTTAACTTGATCACATCTACAAGGACCCCATTTCCAAATAAGGTCATCTTCTGAGGTTTGGGGTGGGCATGAATTTTGGGGGGACACAACTCAACCCAGTACAAATCCTTCTTCATTTAATGCATACTTGTTGAGTCCTTCCTGTGGAATTCCAGATCCCTTTGATGGCTTCCCAGTCCCTAGGATAAATGCTCACTAGCCCCTCCAGCTTCATCCCATGCCTACTTTCCCTAGGGACTTTATCCGGTCCCTCACCTGTTCCAGGTCCCTTCCCACCTTGGCTCATGAAATCCTTGTCCCAAGTGCTTCTCCACTTGTCTGTTGTCCTTTGGATACAGCTCAGCCATCACTTTTCTGGATCAAGCCACCTGCTATATGCTCTCTAGCTCTTATCACAGCCTGTAATTATTCATTTATTAATGTGATTGATATCTATCTTCATAATACACAGGCACCCTGTTTCCTTCATCTCAGCATTATGTTCCCAAAGCTTGGTACAGTCTCTGGCACAGTGTGGGTGGTCAGTGAATGTTTGTTGGAGAAATGAAGCTATGCCTGGCATTGAAGCTGGGGGCACGTCAAGGTAAAAGCCAGAACTGGGTGTTAAGCTGAAGGTGGTGGCTGTGCAGTGTATCCTTCATTTACCTATTTGCACAGAATTTGGGCCTGAGATTCCTGATGAGGTGGTTGGCTAGACTTCGCTCTGGTCACATGTTTCCCTGAGCTACAAACGCGGACTGGACGCAGCTCTCGAGTCCTCACTTTTTCTCATGTCCCATGCTCAGCCTGTGACTGCGGCCTGGAGACTCTGCCTCTACGAGGTCTCCTAGTCTGTCAGTCTCTCGGTTTCGGCTGTTCCTGCCCTCACAGAGACCTTTGTCATCTCCTGCCTCCAAACCGGTCTCCTGGCAGACAAGACTGTTCCCTTTCAACCCGTTCTCTACACCGTAGGCAGATCAATTTTTACAAAATGCAAATGGAATAAGTCATTGTATGAATTTGATAGGGCCGCCTCAATGAAGTACTACAACTGAGTGGTGTGAGTAACAGAGATCTGTTGTCTCACAGTTCTGGAGGCTGGAAGTCTGAAACTGAGGTGTTGTCGGGATTGGTTCCTGCTGGGGGCTGTGCGGGAGGGGTCTGTTCTGACCTCTCTCCTTGGCTTGCAGATAACCGTCTTCTCCCTGCGTCTCTTCTCATCGTCTTCCCTCATGCATACGTGTTTCTGTTTCTACCGCCAAATTTCCTCTTTTTATAAGGACGCCAGTGGTGTTGGGTTAGGCCCCACCCTACTGACTCATTTTAACTTGATTCCGTCTGTGAGGGCCCCATCTCCAAATAAAAGATAAGGCCACATTCTGAGGAATTAGGGGTTAGGAATCCGACATATCTTTTTGGGGGGACACGATTCAACCAAACACGATCCAGCCAGCGCAGCTACTTTCGTGCTGCCCGAGCCTCCGCTACCTGCAGACGGGAGGCCAAGCTCCTTCCGCAGCTCACTTAGCTTCCCGCACTGGGCTGTGCTGCCTCATCTCCTGCCTCCTCCCTATCCCCTTGCATTCTGTGCTCCTATGGTAAAACACCCCTTCCTTCTTCTTGCCTTAGGGACGCACCATTCCATCTGCCTGAGGATGCCCATCCTCCTGTCCGTTAGCCCTGGTGACGAGTCCTCACCCTTCAGCCTCGGATTGGATGTCACATCCTTTCAGAAGCCTGCCCTGATGTTCCTCCTCCAGGTCTGGATCCGTGCCCCTTTCACACACAATACGGAACTAGTCTTAGTGCTCATGACGCCGTCTTCTCCGCTAGACTGTGGGCTGCCCAAGCGTAAGGACTGCATCTGGTTCCCTTTTACCCCACCCCGCCTGGCACGGTGCCTGGAACACAATGGTCCCTTGATAAATATTTTCAGAATGAAAGAATGCCTGGATGGTCATTCAGGATTCTGAACAGATATAAGGATGAAATGAGACGGACCTCAAGCCGCTGTCTAAGGAGTAGCATTCCACGTAACTACACAAGAGCAGAGACTGGACAGACATGGCGGGGGCCACATCTTCTGGAAGGTGCCTCTGTTTCTTATTGCTCCAACTGTGAAACAGACTCCTAGGGGCTGTGAGCTGGAGAAACTCTTAGAGATCATGGAGTCCAATTCCCTCATTGCAAAGAAAGGAGAAATTGAGGCTCGATGGGGGGCAAGACCTGAATGATCATGACATTTTTATTGAGGCATTTTATTTACAAAGTGAAGAATGGAATCTGGGCCTCTTGGCTTCTCCATGAAAAGAGGTCATGTGCATGGAGGCTAAAAGAGTGGGCTCTGGTCCACTTCTAGGGATGTGGTCCTGCGTCTCATCGGGCAAGGGGCATAGGGCAAGTTACCCAACCTCCCTGTGACACGATTTCTCCGTCTGTAAAGTGGGGATAATGGGAGTACCTATCTCACAGTTGTTGGGAGGACTCAATGAAC